GTTTGAGAGAGGCGAGGAACACAGTAATGGATGAGATAGATTGAAACATCCAATATTGTTTGATATCTATGATGTGTGCTCGTTGGCAAGAGAAGCGAGGTTGTCTAGTCTCAAAGTCAAGATGCTAAGAGACATATGCGAACATTTTGAGCTCGCATTCAAAATGCAAGATACAAATGCAGCACCTCTTGCAAAAATGGAGGAAATGATTTCGGAGTGCAGTTGTAATGCAATCTAGTTATGACGTCCACCCGTTATGCGAATGCGATGTCTTTTTTTACAAGAACTCTTCAAACTTATGAACAGAGACTGTTATGCAGACAGATGTGACGACCAAATATCATTTTTTCCCTTTCAGCGAGAAATCCGAGAAATCGCTGCTTTATTTAGACGTGAGAAGTATTCAGGACAATTACACGATGGAATTACGTGACAGAGTCACTGGTCACGGTGAATTTAGTGTGTGCTGTTATCGCCGGTTACACTAAATAGAATCCTGTAGTTTAATTTTGAAATGTGCATACAGGTTTGAATAGCGTAAGCCATCAGAACTCAAATATGAAATAACAGAAGCCAAATTTTAAAAAAGAGTTTGCGAGCGCTTATCAAATTATGATATTCGATACGTTGTTGTTGACGTCTTTCGTCACGAGATAATAAGATTTGTCAAATTTTGGCCTTTTAAAATGTTTAAAGTATAAATCGGTGTGGTTTTAAAGCTCTGTCCTACTATATTTTCTACTTAAAATGGTTAAAATCTAAGATTTATTGAGCTACTCACATAAAACGGTCGGAGTTTGCTCAATGAACTAATTTGCATAATCGGCTGTCACGCTTGCAATATCGCTAAAAGTTCGAAGTCACCTCGGCGAAGAAAATCAATAAGTGCAAGATGTTTTTATATTTTTCTGCAGCCAAACATCTTATTAGCAGAAATCAAGCGGAGTTTTTAATGGTCTGGTCTGGACTTGAGCAATATCAATCGAGAAAGAAAGAGTATTTTTAACCAATTTCAGAAAGCTGTCCAACGAGTGTTTTTAAATAAATTATGACGAGCCTCTGAATAAACGAATATCAAAATTGAAATGCATTTTATACACCTTATATATCACACACTTTAAGAATACAAAATATTTTTTGTTGCATGCGGAGTGATACGAGGACCGGGCTATTCAACTTTTGAAATTTTCGATGTCGCAAGAGGTCAAAAAAGGGCCTTTTGCAGCTTTGACTTTTGAGAGCTCTAAAAATTTTATTTTGAGGTATTTCCAGAAACTAATGTGGTTTTATTTACTTGTTACCAAAGATAGTTTATTGGGTAAAGTTTGAGGGAAAACTTTTTTCTGATGCGAAATGCCCTGGACCGCTCTTACAGAGATCGCCTCTTAAAGGGGTTTAATGATTTAATGATTGATAATGATATGATTGATAATGATTGATGATGATTGATAATGATTGATAATGAATGATAATGTTTAATGATTGAGGGGTTTAATGATTAAACCCCTGAAGAGTGAAGCGATTCACGAAACAGGCTTGTCGGGAAATGTAGTTGGGTTCCTTTTTTCCTCTCATAATATTTCAATTATTCTGCTCTGCTTCAACGTATTGAGCACTGTTCCACGCGAAAATCGACTTGCAGACTTCCTATATATATATATATATATATATATATGTATATCGTTCGTTTGTTTGTTTTACGCAACTTGTGAATAAAAAACGTACGCGCCGACCAACCGTAAAATAACCTATAAATATATATGGCGGAAGATCAAATGCTCACATGCTCACATTTTACTGCCGGAAAGGAGACGACAATTTTTTTACTCTTTCGTATGGTTAACACTTAGGCACGCAAAGCGACAAAGCCAGTAAAAGGCTTAATATAAAAAAAATTTCATGTTGTTGGAGTTAGTGCAACCATGATGAAATTGATTGTAACAGAATAATGCGCTTGTGCTTGAAAACTTACGGAATAGAACATTAAATGACACGGCCCATAAATGCTACAAATGTGCTGAATTTATCCCTTTTTGAAAGGCTTCCTAAAGACAGAGTGAAGGAACAATGCCCCTTCTTTTACAGTCGGAAAGGAGACGATATGTTTTTCTATTTTTTCTTAAAGTTGACCTTTTGACATGCATAGTGATTCATAGTGATTAATTCATTTTGACATGCAAATCATAAGCTAAATATATCAACTTTTCATGCCGGTAGAGCTAGCGCTAGCAGAAAATAATCTTAGCTCGCCATGAAGAATTGGATGGTACTTATCGTCGATGCGCTGACTCCATCCTTACTATTTGTACTTTGTGCAGGTATGATGAGATATATGCCATAGATAAATATAACCGTAGATTTAAAAAGAGAACTGAAAGAAAAGAATCCATAACTAAGGTATAACAGTATGTGCCTAGACATATCTTGCCGATCTTTGTTTGTTCTACAGCCTAAAGTGAACAAGGCTCTCATAAAA